ATACGCCCTTAAACGTTGGAATAGTAAAGGTACAAGTCACTGATAGCATTCGTTGCTCACAGAATTAACAGTTTATTTTACTATAATTTGGTAAGGTTGAAAAATTAACGTTTTTTTAAAAAAAAAACAAACAAAAAAGTTTGACGAATAACATGATGTGAAAACTTTTATACAGTCAAATTTAGAAAGAACTGATACTTTCATTAATTTTTCCTTAAATGCTAGAGGAGTCACACATCTCTATTAAAAAGTATATAAAACTGGTAGGTTTTCAAAATTCGATTATTTCCTTAAGCATCTCACAAAATGCCTGATCTCTTGAATACGAAAAATAACTTCAATATGTGGATAAAAATACCCCTCGAGACATTCGATCATCTCATAAAATGTCCCAGAATGTTCAACTCTCAGTGAACATCTACACCATGATCGCTTCATTTTCCAACAAATTTTAAAACTATTTTAAAGTCTCAATTTTTTCAAAAGTTTAACGAATGAAATGACGTAGAAAATTTGGAATACCTAGTTAACTTTTAAGAAAACTTATATTTTTATCAATTTTTCCTTTTCAAATTCCTTAAAAAATTCATATATCTCTTTTCAGGCATACGAAACTTCATAGTGATCTTCCGAATGTCTTGTTAAGTTTAATTATTCAACTTTGCATTAGAAAAATACGTGATTTGACTATTAGATCGACCTTTTTGTCGTATCTTCGCGTTATCGAACAGAACTATGAAACGGGCGAATTTTCGGTCAATAGCCTTTGATAACGACTTTACACTTGCCTTTATAATACGTTACAAAGGCCTGCGTCGAACCAGTCCCTTTTAACCGTGCTCTACTACTACATCGTTCAGCGATGAACTCTTCGATTCTGTGCCTGCTCATGGCTGCTACCGTCCTGGCCAATCACATCGAAGTGGACAACGAGAGCCCTCTTGTCGCTTGGCTGGAGCTCGACTATAAGGAAGCCGGAAAACCCGCAAAGATCACCACTGAGTCTCTTTTGATGGGCACAACGGCGTCCCTCACCGTTCCCCCCGCGGCTAGTGACGTCACACTTACCACCAAGTATTACAAGTTCCCGTTTGTGGAGGAAGTTCTTTCCAAAGAGCCCCTCACCGGAACCTTCGCCAACAAGTGCTGGAAGATCTCTGGAATTATCAACCCTGTGTCCGCGTCCGTCACCTGTCAGTGATTTCGACCCCTCACGTCTCTACGTTTGACCCCCGAAAATCTTCATCTAATTTCTCTTAGATTTTTACCACCCCCCCCCTTCCGCTACCTAACTATCCCACGGTTCAAGGACCACTAGAAGGGGTAAGAAATTGTATACTGATTTCTCATCAAAATTTCACGGGAAAAAAACGAGTTGTTTCTTAAAGGAAAAATGTCCACATTTAGATGGGTCCCAAAACACTAGAACTACTATGTAGCCCGAAGATGGACTTGTTCCCTTTTAGAAGCAAGTCCTTCGAAGACGCTTGACACATGGACGATTTCCAAATCTAAGTCATAGTAGAGCGTCTACTTAAGTGGTTTATTCAAACTTGCTGTACGATTAAAATCATCTTGAGTCAAATTTGTCACAAATTAATTCCATTGTGCTTTACAATTGCATATTTTTTGGGCAAAATCAGTAGGATCTTGTATTTTAGAAGGGAGGGAATTTTTAGAAATAGAAATTTTAGTTATTTTCTGAACGTTTCAGTTTGTTTTCTATGGCCGCTGTGGCCTGCACTCATTTTGGTTTTTTCGCAAACGGAAGGTTTGAATTCACCGATTTTGATGTAAAATAATAACACTGGTTCCTCACTTAAAATATAATTTGAACCCTCAGGACCTGTTCAAAGCATTTGTTGCGAAATCTTGCGGTGCTTTTTCTTGCGCTGTCAAGTTGTCCATTAATTTTTAGCATCACCTACCTAGGCCCCTCTCCCTCTTGTGCTTGCCATCATTTCTAGACGGGCTCAAACAGGCACACTAAATTTCGTTCGATACGTTCGTGACTTAGGAACCGGCCAAAGTTACTGACTCGCTATCCCACGTTTCAAAATCCTTTATTCGAAGCCGAGTTTTCACCGAAAATTTTGGTAACTCAAGCTAGGAAAATCGTGAAAAATTTCAATACGGATGGCAAGACACGGATAAAGTTTTTGAAAATATGCACAGTTTACAGCGATATTACAACATTCCCTCTAAAACTTTTCCTAATTAGGTGCGCCTCTTTAGGTATTGCTGTTTTTCTTTATAATTTTCTAATAAAGTATAAGAAGAAGAAGTATTGCTTTTCTTTGACTGTCTTTATTTTTCTGGCTTGTATTGACACTGATCTTTACCCAATCCTTCAACATTTAATACATCTAGCGACGCCGATTGTTGAAATTATTATGTGTTATGCCAGCGGGATGAAACTTGACATGGGTAGCTCTAACTGTATCATGTTATATGTATCGATTCTCGATAGGTATCTTCTCGTGCTGAAATAAGTTTCGACAATCAGCCCGCAGTATTTTTTAGGTTATATCATATGTAAATCAGTATAGAACTGCGCTTTATCTGAACTGACAAAACCTGGAGATTTTAACATTCATTTCACAGAATGAGTAAAGAAAATCGTCTTTAAAAAAGTGGTCAAAAGCTATCTCTAATTTCACGCGAGCTTCCCCCGAAAAACACCGGCACTAAAGAAATTCGCAAACCTTCATCTCATGCTAATCAAAAACTAAAATCAGCAGAAAGTAAGTAGAAAAGAAAATTAGGAAATGTCATTTTTTCAAATAATTTGATTTTATGAATATTCATCAAGTGGAAGATAATGTATTTTTGGCCCGATAAATTAAGGTTTCTCACTACATTTCATCAAGATTCTTCGCTCTAAGCTTGCATCGCATGACGGGGAAACTCTCGCTGGGAAATCGAGGGGTTTTCCGAGATATTTAGAATGTGTTGTTTCATTGACCTTTGTTAGTTTGTTCTCTTTTTGTTTGTGAGTTTCTCGATCCTATGTTTTGATTTCATTTAAATCTCTTGAGAAGAGAACGTTATTCTGTTATTTTCTTTGAGTCTCTAAATCGAGAAAAAAGTTAAAAAGATGAACAAGGTCTTGTGGTAAACACAGGGAGGTCAGATTTTATCATGAAAGGAGTAAAAATTGGAGATGAATTATCACGCTTATTTTGAGGTAGTTGCTAATAAGAGATAAAAAGAGACACAATGAGGAAAAAGGTTGAGAAATTAAAATTTACGAATAAACGACCATAACGTTGAACACTGATACAGCACGTTCATACGGGGATAAAATGACTCGCAAATGGTGATTGCTTTCTGAGACATTTTCCTCGATGATTGAATATAGCAGGAGTGAAATTTGTGAGGAGGAATATTGTGTTTTGAGACCTTGTTCCTGTTAGCTGGCTTAACGTAACGAAGTTAAAACAGGTGTAAAAAAGCCATTTTCGTGTAGTCAGAAAGTTTTAAATGTAATAATTAAATTCTCCAAGTAACATCTATACGCATGAAAACAATTTCGTTAATGCGTGAGACGTAAGACAGTCGGAAACTATTCAGGTCTTTGGAGCGCCGTGCACGAGACGACACAACTATACCTGCTCTGCAGCATTAAATTGCATACCCTCCCGATTGAAGGAGTTTTCGATCCTTCCAACGCTAGGTCATCAGGACGAGAGCAAAATCCCGTTATTTGGCGAGCAGATAAAAATTCAAATTATATAAACTAAATCTACGAACGGAAAACGGCCTAGCAGAAAAATTACTTGCAAAGGGCCGCCTCCACAAATCATCTAGCAGCTCTGAGATCTATGCAAAAACATGACTGGCTCAGTACCCTTCTTTTCCGATCAAGCTTCTTTGCCTCTTCTCGCTGTAAACCAATACTTTATATTAGCTTTTATTTTCCTTCCGTTAAAAAAAAACGGGTTTACGGAACATGGTTTTGAATTTGTAAAGAAAAGAAAGAGTCAATTAAAAAACCGAAACAACGCTCCGCACAAAAAATAAAAATTAAATAAAATTGAGACGTTTTAGGCGAACGTGTGTGTTTTATTCTGCAACCATTCGAGGGTTTTTCTCTATCTTTTAATATCTTCATGTTTCTGTTCATCGTCGCTCGCAACGTAGATTAATGATTGACCTCCTCTCCTTCCGCGTACACAGCTACGGGCCGATTATTGAAATTAATAGACAAAACTTTAGACAAGGAAGACAAAAAGGATATGAAGGGATCCAGTCAGTGGAGGCGGGTGGTTGCAATGGACACAGGAGGTGGGTAATAGACTATCTAATGGCAGCCCACGAGAGACCCTATAGTTACTCTACCACTTCCTCCCTCAGTCTACAGGAACTACCCATTGCACTGAAAAAAAAATTCTCGGCGTTTTTCCCACGGTCCGTTGGTACCTTCACCATCTCACTTTTTTTACCAATTATTGGTAATTTTACCAAGACAGACTGGTAAGCTTACCTAAAAACCGGTATTTTTACTGTTGTTTTTCAGGTAAGAATACCATTTTCATTGGTAATCAATTCCCGGTAACTTTGCCATTTTATCTTGGTAATTCTACCACAGTCGATAAAAAATATTGGCGATTTTACCAAGGTCCAGTGAAATTACTGAGAAAGTTCACTAAATCTGCCATAAATGGTAATTTTACCAATAAAATTGTCAAAAAGTCCTCTGGTTTAGGCATAAAGGCATTATAGTTTGGAGATTAACTTCTATCAAGGTTGACGTGAAAATGTAAATAAATTTAACTTATTCCACTCAACGATGTTCCGACAATGTGCCGGCATAAACGTTGCATGTTCGTCACAGTAGATTCTTGAAAGAGGGTAACCAGTACTGATTTCCAGTTCCGCTTCACGGAGAGAAACGGTTGCGAGCGTTTTACAATTGGCAAACACGCATGACTCTGACCTACGCGCCGATATCCAAATCAGGTCACCAGGTCAAATCAGGTCTCTCGGTCGGAAAAATTATCCTGTAGCAGTATCTGATTGATCAAAACAGTAACTCTGTATAGTTATCAGAGTGGCTTTGTAAATTTTCACCCGGTTTCGAGTGGTTTATTTTTAATTCGTGCAAAAATGAGAATTTCGCTTGATGTAGTGTTTATTTTGGTGACGATTACTCTGATTACCGCGCTACCTACCGGCAGTAAGCAGTCCGGTTACATTTCCATTCGTAACTCGGGGGATGTTCTAACATCGTGTTCCATCGTTTACAACCTGAACAACAGGAGATTCGACGATGAATCAGGTACCTGAATAGCATCAAGCTTAATTGGATGGGATTTTACAAATAGGAACCAAGAGAATTCCTGTCGCTAAGCTTGTGCATCTTCTTTTCCTTTCAAAGATGTATAAAAGGATTATCTAAACAAAAATTATCGTTACTCCCAGCGAGCTATAAGTTCAAGACGAAATTACCTATATAAATTTATTTTTCCTATGATTTTCGATAGGTATTTTATTTCAAAGAATGGAAGTTGCACAATTGGATTACATTTTGCGGTAAGGAACCACTATTTCTGGCCCACTTTAGAAACAACATACATGCCATTGGTTTCCCTATGCAGATATGTGCTTTTATGAAAGAGCCAGAGATAGTGGTTCCTTATTGCAAAATGCAACTCTATTCTAGCAATATTGGAAGGCTTGGCTCTTAATTCCTTCTTGCAAGATGCAATTCAATTAAACAGTCTTTAGTCCTCACGAGTACACATAACACGAGTGAAAATTTCCGAAAAATTGACTAGGGACATCATCTCATTTGATTTATCGCATAAAATGGGTAAATTTTCCAGATTTCAATAATTTCCTTTAAAAAAAAAATGAGTCTATTGTATTAAACAGATACATTGAAATAAGTAGAATTCTCTTATGTAAAACTGCCCTTGTCGCAAAAGTCTGATTGTTAAATCTACTCCTTAACGCATATTTACTTTTATGCGTAGTCTTCATTTCAAGTTCAAATTGAGATTAGACTTTAAGTAGTTTTTTTTTTTCTCAAAATTGTGTTTCCTGAACTCGAAATTTCAAATCGCCATGATTCTGGTTTGGTTTAAAATTCGAAGCAGTATAGCGTGGAGTGAATGATCGATTATTGATATTTCCCCATTTGAAGCTATGGTAAAGAATCGATTACTGCGAACACCCTGTAATCGATCGTTTTCCATAGGTTCAAATCGCGGATCAATCGATATATCCCAAAGCACGCCACGCCACTGAATTTCATAGGCGTTTTTCATCCCAAACTTTCCGATGAACTTTTCTCCATTTGCTTAGTATAAATACTTTGGTCTCAAGAATAAGTGGATTTATGGATTGAAGTTGGGAAATGTGACGAAAACTCAACATGGCCGTAAGTTAATCACTCTAACAAGTTCATTAGACAGAAAAGAGACAATTATTGAATGTACTTCAAAGAGGTGAAATTGCCAGATAATCAAAAATCATTGTCAAACAAGTCTGGGATAAAATCCTAAACCCCTAAATTTCCGAAGCCAGGTCAAACTGACTAGGGATCTGCTAAAAAAAAACGTGGGCCACGGACTTTAAGACGCTAATACATACGAGCGATATGAGTCTACCAATTCATCGTGAAAAAAGAATCCGATATCAAATAAAATCTAGTGTCGAACATAGCCGAAGATTAGAGAGACGTATTCGGCCTGGTTTTTAAATTCTTCTCCCGAATCTGAGCGGAGCCTCGTTGGCAGCACCGATGCGGAGCATTGCGAGTTCACGCCTCGCGCCAGCACGCCTTCAATTATGCAGAGGCAACACGGCCATCCATCAAGTATGAATAGTTGTATCTCTGCGCCGTCAACGCGCGTCCTTCCCTCGATCTATTCCCATTTGTTGTGCTGGTTCCGTTTGTCTAATTTTTTGGCGTGCCTCAAGGGTTACGTGAGGAGGACAGGGGAGACGTAATCGGGCCTCGTTTTTTGACTTTTCGCTCTTACGTCAGAGGTGCGACGAAATGAACAAAACTGCTCTCAACTTATTCATGAGGACAATAGCAATTTACCACTAATATTAAACTACGGTCAATTTTGCCTTTGTGGACAATGGTTCCTTATCCTATAGATGGTAATACTTGGATTATACTCTGCAATATAAAACTACTATGCAATGACTCATTTTAGAAACAACATGTCCATGACCAAAGTACGAAACCACATACCTTCATTGCGGTGTTTCAAAATTTACACTCCCAATTCATTTTTTCGAGGAAACTTAAGTCAACTTTGATGCAGAATATTCTGCTAACAGAGAGGGAAAATCGTTTCAAGAAATTGTGTTTAATGGTTTTCCAAAGGAAAAAATTGTCGGCTTGGGTGACGAGGCGCATAAGTGCAGTTTCTGCTATTTCGAGAAATATGTGTTTGAAGTTCAAAAATTACATGGATCCTTAAGCCGGAAAGAAAGTTCAAACTAACTTTTTGATGCTTAAAAATTGGAATTTGGAAGAAAATGTTTCTCAAAATATGCATTAAGATTAGTTTTACTGGAAATCATAAATATATTCATTTTTTTCAAAATCTGCCTTTATGCGTCTCATGTCCTCTTAGCCCCTCAAATGTAATCCATGTTAAGTTCGTTTGTTTCTTTCTCTTTCGGTAGGTTTCCTCTCGAAGGGTGATAAGAAGACGATTGGACTGCCGGGTGATGGGGTGCGTGACTTGGAGGTGAAATGCAGTTATTTGAAGAGCGGGAGAAACACCAAGATATTCAGGCAATTCGTCAACGAAGATGAGCCGGTGCCAGTCAAGATTTGCTACGACCTTTGGGGAGACGCGGCGAACCTTAGGTGGAAACGTATCGACTGCGCAATGCACAGTTCGAGTTTTTCTCAGCCTTCGACACCTTTTCTGTCCTCAACCCTACCAGCACCGGTAAACGTTCGATCGGTCACGGTTTGACGTCTTAAAAAAGATCAGTTGGACTCCACTTCGCGCAGTGAGGAACTAACATTTCTGGCTATACGGGAAAACACCTATCAGCATACACTGGAAAAAAAAAAAACACATTGGATGTAGAGTCCAGACTCGTAAAAACATTGACAAGAAAATATACTCTTGATTCAATCGGATTTTTGCTTGAATCAAAACGAAATCCGCTTAAATTAAGAGGCTTGGTTTTGAATTTAAGCTAGATTCTGATTGAATCAAGAGTACTTTTTCTTGTCGATGTTTTTAAGAGTCTGGTTTCTAGATCCAATGTGTTTTTTTTCCCAGTATAGGGAAATTAAAGGCATTTGGCATTTTTTCTCAAATGAGCCGGATAGAGTAGATCTCAGTGGCGTGGCGTGAACAATCGATTATCGATATTTCCCCATTTGTAGCTATAGTAAAGAATCGATTATTAAGGTGTTCGTTACGAACACCCTGTTTATCGATCCTTTTCCATAGGTCTGGATGGCAGATCAATCGATATATCGCAAAGCACGCCACGCCAGTGGTATAGTTCCTTACTGTAAAATGTAGTTCAGATGATGTGGGGTGTACTTTTCTGAGACTAAAGAAGCACAGATGATACGGAGAGGAGATGGCCCTACAAATATATAACAAAGAAAAAATCATGTTGCAATAAGACGATAATAAATTTAACTCATAGTTACATATAGCAATCAGAGAAGTCTGACCGATAAATCGCCTTCAAAAACTATCTCCGCAACCTGCATTCATATAGTGATCAAGTTAGCTGTCTCCGTGTTGCAGGCACTTGATCAAGTCTTGTAACTGTTCTTAACGTAACGCAACAAACCAAGCGTATTGCTACAGACAATCTTTATTTTACAATATTTTAAAATACTGCTCATCTCCGTCGCAAAAGAGCTTATTTTTCAGCGGCATGCAATTTTTGCCGTCTTCATGAATTCGCCTCATAGGAGGTCTGTCCAAATTTTTGGGAGATGACAGACCCAAAGAACGACTTATCAATCAATGAACGAATGTGCGACAAAATTCATGATTGTAAAATCTACAATCTGCGAGTAATTTTAAATCGATTATTTCGAAAAGTCGAGTACTTGACACAAATAGTTGATGATTAAGCATTGATTTGAAATCGGATTTTGAACTGGCGACAGTATGCCATGGGCAAGTGATTGCAAAATCGAACAACTTTTGCCAGATTTTGTGTTCAAATCTAGAAATAAAGTCTTGCCCTTCGAATGACGTGATGTTGAGAATTTTTCACCTTTCTATTATCAAAAATCAACGAAATCTATTTTTGGAGAAATTGATGTTCTAATCCGTTAATTATCAAATCGTACCCGTTGTTTTTCTTTGAAAAAGAAAAAATCGAACAAATTTTCTCTGGCATCGCCTCCCGAGTAAGGCCATTAATACCCGGCGAAATTTTGGCCCGCCAAACTTTCCGTTTCACATTTAATGGAATCCTGCTTCCTGATAGGTCAAAAATCAATTCTATTCCTCATATTAAAGATGACGCGACCGACAAACGAAAGAATAAAAAGTACCTAGTCCCAATGGGCCGTTAATAAAATACGCAAAACCAACAATTGAATGCTTGGCCCCCTAATAACACGCCAGTAACTTAGGTTTAAACTCTCCTAAGAAGACATAGCGTTCTTCTTAACTACTTACTCCCCCAAAAGTAAAAAAAAAATCTCTGATAAATTTCAGTGTTTTCTTTCGTATTCGAGAAAAAAATGAATGGAAATAAAAACAAGTTGGATTTTGCAATCGCTAGCGATAGCAATATTCGTCATGGGAACGTTAGCTTCTGGGATATGAAAATGTTAAGGTACAGTTCGTTTGTAGTATCTTCTGAATTGAAGGGGCTATGTAATTTTGTGTTGACATCTCTTTTTTAACATTTTTAATTATTTTCTTTGCATACAAGAAAGCTGTTATGTACCAATTATTTATTTTCGTTGGATTATATATGGTTTTCGGAAGTTAACGCATTTAAGTTTCAGGTTCGCTTTTTCGGCGTAAAGTGTACATAAGGTGTCCCAAAAGCACCGGGACTTGTTCTGTAACTTCGAAAGTAAGATAGATACAGACATGATCTTGATTTCATTTTAAAGATCAACTCAATACCTATCGATAAAAACCAAGATCAGCTCAATCGGATAAAAATTGACCGAGTTATGGCAATTTGAAATCAGCGAGGAAAGTTTACGCCTACGGTTTTTAAGGAAGATTCTTCATCGCCGTAAATCGAAAAGTCGGCCGATAAAGTGATGCTTATTGTGTTTTTTTATTTTCGAGGTGTCATTTATCAACATTTTGTACCATCAAACACAACAGTTGACAGTGCGTATTATTGCAAAGTACTAAAGGAGTTGAGAATGCACATTTCCCGGAAACGGTCGGACTTGAAAGCTTCGTGGATACTCCATCAAGACAATGCGCGGCCCCACACATCGAGCTTAACACGTGAATTTATGAGTAAAAATGGAGTTGAAACAATCCCTCATCCCTCTTATAGTCCTGACTTGGCTCCATGTGATTTTTGGATGTTTCCTGCGCTTAAAAAGGAGCTTCACGGACGAAGATTCGTATCGAAGACAAAAATCCAGAATGCAATTCAAAACTTCTTCAACTCCATCCCAGAGGAAGAATTCAGGAAAACAATGTTGGATAAGTGGCAAGAGCGCATGAAAAAGTGCATCCGGTTTGATGGACGGTACTTTGAAAAGCAAAAGGAAGTTATGGAAGATTCGGAGGAAAGTGGATACGAATATTAACTTTTTGAATCCTGGTAAGCGAAAAATCTTCCTAAAAACCGTAGGGGTAAACTTTCCTCACTAATTTCAAATTGTCATAACTCGGTCAATTTTTATTCGATTGAGCTGATCTTGGTTTTAATCGATAGGTATTGAGTTGATCTTTAAAATGAGACCAAAATCATGTCTGTATCTATCTTACTTTTGAAGTTACAGAACCAGTCCCGGTACTTTTGGGACACCCTACGTATGATATTTTTACTCTACACATATGCCCGAATACGCATCATAAGGCACCTATGTGCTTCCTAAGTTGCCAAGTATTAATTATTGTTAGATTATTGGTCTAAAACATTCAATACAACCAGTAAAAATTAACTGTCCCCTGCGAGATTCGAACCCCCGCTCGCACAAAAAGTGTCACTCTCCCAGAGGCAGAACGGTAACGCAGCCATTTGAGCTACTTCGCTGCTCAGTTTTGCATGGAGAAAAAGAGAACACTTAAGTGATCTCGGACGCTGAGCGGGGCTTCACAAAAGACGTCCTTGAGATTTCAACGGTTCGGCCACTGGCGTGATAAGACACAACGGATCAACCGCATTACTCTGTGAGACATTGTTTACCTATGCTGTCATGTGTCACGAGGTTCATATCACCAGGCATTTGCGATCGCGGCAGTAAGCTCAGGCAATATTTCTGTATTCATGGATTAAATCCATCAATCGAGTTCTGATTTTGGCTCATATATCCGTAACGGGTCCTCCAGAGCAATTTTCCACCTTGTACGATGATTATTATTTCTTTATATCTATGTTTAAAATTTGAGGTGGGATAATGGCGGCTTCTCAAGAGCAACGAGGTAGGCGATCTTTTGCACCAACGAACAGAAAACTGATGGCGAAAAATAACCTAAAATAACCAATCAGAACCTCCCAAAAAAAAGAATTTACCTAAAAACGGAACTTCGTGGTTCTGCGCAGATTTACCAGTCAGACACGACATCTTAAGGTGGAAAAAAACTCGCTGAAAGCGAATTTTAGAAATCAACACAACTTGACGTAGAGACATGATTGGCTAAAAAATACAACGGTTTTTGATACATCGGAAAATCAACCAAAAATCGGAGACTGGGCGAAACGCTCAAGGTCGCAGAGGTATAGGGAATCCCATTGTGAAAGCAACGGAACGATTGTAATATCATGGGGAACTCCGTTCCCATGACAATTATAGAGGCTAATAAAGGCAAAATAAATGGTCCAAATTTTTCCTAAGTATTTGAAGATTAAAGGAAAATGCTGAAACTTGAGAGAAAATGCAAAAAGCAATGCAAAAAAAATATTGAATATAATCAAATGGAGAAGCAAAAACTAAGTACAAAACCTTTTTAATTACAAGTAAAAAAAAAAAAATACAGCGTCAAGCGTTAAATAACGGAGCCTTAATGGACCCCCCCCCCCTTTACATACACTTGACGCAGGTTCAGACCCTCCCTCCCAGAGCATTGCGTATCCTGTGAGCAGCCCCTTAAGTCAAGAAACAACACAAAACAATTTTGACATGAAAAAGGACTTACTTTTGGGGATGAGCGTGGCGGCGAGAAGAGAGACGGCGCCAACAAGGAGGAACGTGGAATTCATACTACGTCGTCCCGTCCTGTCCATATAGGCCATGACGATGAAGTAGCAAGGCGCCTCTATAAAGGCCATGAAGAACAACGTTGCGTAAGGATTGCCTTCCATCCGACTAGCGCCTAGAGATAGACCGTAGTAACCCAAGCTGGCCGCAAACCTGCCATCAAACATCATCAGTATTATCGGCCATGGCTAATTTCGCAATGGAGATGTTGCATGTGTGAGGAATTTTCGATTTGACTGTTGAATCTTACGTAAAAGTTCGCGAGAAGCACGATGGTACCACTGGTTTTCTCTGAAATCAACTCCCAAGCTCAAAAAAACCTCTCAAGTTGAGGCCAAAATGGAGGGGATATCATACCCTACCCTGAGAGTCCACCTCTACATCAAGACAACTCTCCATGCAAAGATAGGGAGCAAATACATCAGCAGGGTTGCCGTGATTTCAGTTTTGGAGTCCCCAAATCAAGTGGCAGCCCTGTCAATTTATTTGCTCCCTATCTTTGCATGGAGAGTTTGTCTTGATGTAGAGGTGGACTCTCAGGGTAGGGTATGATATCCCCTCCATTTTGGCCTCAACTTGAGAGATTTTTTTGAGCTTGGGAGTTGATTTCAGAGAAAACCAGTAGCACCATCGTGTTTCTCGCGAACTTTTACATAAGATTCACCAGTCAAATCGCAAATTCCTCACACATGCAACATCTCGATTTTAAGTTCTTCAATACCTACGGGAACAAAAAAGTATTAACTTTTAACTTTTAACTTTTTTCCTCCAGCTATTGTTTATTCTAAAAACCGAGGATACTCAAGTCACTCAGCGGCTCCCATTCATGAACAAAATTCTAAAAACGTGCAAATTCTCTAAAGTTGGAGTTTACCAGTTGAGGCAGACGATGAGCGATCGCATCCTGAGCTGGGGCGTCTTGAAGAGGTCCAGGATGCCGAGGTTGGGCCTTGGCTCGTGGAGGTCCTCGTGGTCTCCGTTGGCCTCCCGCTCCTTCTCGTTCTTCTCCTTCCCCTTGAGGCCCTTCAAGAAGCGCCCCGTGTCCATGGAGGCCCCCGGGTCGTTGACCCGCATCGCCCGCTCCACGATCTCCACCGCCTCCTCCCGTCGTCCGTTCGCCCACAGCCATCGCGGCGACTCGTCGATCAACCTGCCCCAAAAGAAACCCAATCACAATACAATGTTTTTTAAACAATATCGACGGTGAAACTACCAAACCACGTATCTCGTTTGCGGTGTTTAAAAATCTACGCTCGCATTTTATTTTTTTGAAGTAGACCAAATCAATATCATTCCTTGAAATTTTCACAGAATTTTCTCCGCACGAAGAGGAAAAATCACAGAAATTTTCAAGACTGGACGTAATGTAGTTTTTCATTTAAAAAATAAAGTATGACAGGAAGTCTGCGACGTCGCAAACCGAGATACGTGGTTTGGTAGTTTCACCGTCGATATTTCAAAAGTTTTATAAACAAAAGCATGGAGTCAGATTTGGAACGCGTCAAGTAGAAAGGATTGCCAAATTCGTTCCAGAGGAATTGCCAAATGGACGTATTTATGCTAAATGGAACGTTGTGCAAGTGGAAAGATGGGGTGTGCGCGTGGTGAGCTGGATAAAAAATGATGTAAAAGTGGATATAGTTCCTTTTGAGAAAATGGAAAAGCGGGATTTGACATTAAATCAAAAGGAACTGAGCGCGAGGGCAGCCAGCGCGAAACGCGCATTGCCGCATTGGCGACTACAAACTTAACGGGGATACTTCACGCGTTACGCAATGCGTGAAGTATCCCTGTTAGGTTTGTAGGCGCCAGTGCACCGCCGCTCCGCTTTGTGTTAGGCTCTAATATTTAATCTCGTGAGGTCGGCGTTTTTCAACTCATGACTTTTGAAATGTTTGCATACTCTGTATGGATTAATCTCATTTTAATTGATGAAAACAAATATGTAGTAAAGGAAAATATACTGTGCGTTTTGTAAATATTAAGGTGATTCCGTACAAACTTAAGGATTTACAAAGCACACGAATTTCTACACAATTTCTTATAGCCTTTTATAGCCGATGGCGAAAAAGCAACTGCCAGGCGATAAAGTGTAAAGCCCGGCGATAGGAACTAAAGCCAGGCTGTATGATTTTTTATCGCTTCGTGTAGCCCGGCCGTATGATTTGTTCCACTTTCTACAGCCAGCTATATGATTTTCTATCGCCTTCTTCAGTCGGCTATAAGAACTCCTATGGTGTTTTGAAATGCAGCTCCTGTCGCCAATTTTTACCAGGGTGGTGGTTACCTGAATCTAAAACAATTGGATGCATCAAACCGAGAAAACTGTTTTTCCGGCAGTTTCTCCTTGCGTTGAGGAGCATACTTCTTCCGCCAAAATAGCGACTGAAATTATCTCTCAACGTAAACTTTTATGGTTAAGACAGGCAAAAGTTTACCAGTCATGATGAAATTTTTCCGAGTGTGATGGAGATGTTTGATTTAATAGGTCAATCACGACGACTGTACTTTCCATAGCAGTTTAAGTTGTTAAGTGTACTTATGAAAATATTGAATGAGGGTTTAGTAAAAAAATCCTACAAGATCTCTCCGATGGCTCTTACGATATGATACTACAGACTTCAATCTCGGACTGTCTCCTCGAGTGGTTATTAAACTTTGAATAAGAAGTGACACTCTTAGTTTTTCATTTGCCTAGACTCATAAGAGTGTGATACACTTGAGCACGTAGACAAACTATGTCGTGTATTTATCTTGAAGCACTGATTTTTTCTTCTCGATTCATTGCGTCGCTTCAATCACTGATCCATTCACTTGGAAACTGTCACTGACAACGAGATGTTTCAATGAATGTTCGAATGATGTTTGTTTTAATGTACGGTAACTACGCCTGATTTCTTCATCCATTGATGGTGATAGTGGTCTGTTGAGTTGCAACGATGGCGATACTTCATTTCTCTCACGAGAGGACGTAACGACATTTCAATAATGCCAGATTTTTCCGGGGAAATTCCATTTTTACCAGGGGAGTTTTGAGAATTTTGAATTGAAAATTTCACTCATTTTTTATCTGATCTTTCATGTTGGAAAATTGCAAAATTACCGTGGTAAAAATTGGCGGTAGGAACTGCGTTTCAAAATACCATTGGAGTTCTTATAGCCGACTGAAGAAGGCGATAGAAAATCTAATAGCTGGATGTAGAAAGTGGAAAAAATCATACAACCGGGCTACACGAAGCGATAAAAAATTGTACAGCCGGGCTATAGTTCCTATCGCCGGGCTTTACACTTTATCCCCTGGCTGATGCTTTTTCGCCATCGACTATAAAGGCTATAAGAAATTGTGTAGAAATTCGTTTTCTTTGTAAATCCTTAAGTTTGTACGGAATCCCTTAATATTTACAAACCGCACATTATATTTTCCTTTACTACACATTTTTTTTCATCAATTAAAATGAGAATAATCCATTCAGAGTGTGCAAACATTTCAAAGTCATGAGTTGAAAAACGCCGACTCCACGAGATCAAATATTAGAGCCTAACACAAAGCGGAGCAGCGGCGCACTGGCGCCTACAAACCTAACAGGGATACTTCACGCATTGCGCAACGCGTGAAGTATCCCTGTTGGGTTTGTAGGCGCTAAGGCGTTTTTCGCGCTGGCTGCCCGCCCACCGCGCCGCAGCGTGTCACGGCGCTTGAAGCAACTGTTTCACACCAGAGGTATTGCACAGTATCATACGAAATTGAAGGCGCTCCAACACATTAGGAATGGCAGGCATCCATCAAAAGTACGGAGTTTTCCTCACAAAATAAATCAAGATACTACGGCCCAAAAAGAGAGCGGTAGTCCAAAAACTCACTAAGTCCTAGCATCCGTAATTGGTAACATTTAGTATACACTTTATCGCCTGGCTGTTGCTTAGTTGTCATCGGCTATAAAAGGCTATAAGAAATTGTGTATCCGGCTATAGAAGCTATTGGAAATCTTACAGGCGGCTGTAGGTCTATGGTATTTTGGAACACAGCTTCTACTGCCAATTTTTACCAGGGTATTGCAATTTTATTGCATTGAATTGCAAAGTTATTGCAATATTTTCGTTGCACCGTGCTCCTTGGGTGATCATTCCATAAACTTGAGTAAAATTATAATTGATTGAAGATCATGCATCATCCATGAACCAAAACATGCAAGCTAACAACATTTCAAAGCAGGAGGGGTCAATCCGCGAGGGGAGTTTTTCTTCGGAAAAAATGGGTACCTATTTATATGAGACTATCTAATAAGGACTTTTTTTACACAATTTTTGAATAAATAGAGAATCCACTTCGTAATGTACAATTGATGATCTATCAACACAATCATATCCATGCACATTATCTTTTCATTACGACGAGGTTCTACGGCAAGCAACACACGTTAATGATGCAACTGTGATTGATGTTTACGTAAACAAGAGGGTAACATGATTTTTAAACAAGTGAAGTAATAAATACGGGTATTTACAAGTTGTGATATTATCTTTTGTTACCTACATGCACAATCCATTCATGTTGCCCCTAAAAATTGATTAGTACGGATAAGAGGAGGAGAGTTTAGTGGTGACAATGACTGCTAATCAGCTTTCTAAACCACTTTGATCTTTGAGCAATTGTAGACTTTAAGTGCCCATTAATAGTTTCCTTCTGGAACTTATTGGCTAGCATGTTTGTCCTGAGCCAAGAGGCAAAGTAAATCATGGTGTCTATAACTCTTGATATCTTTTCTGGAACTATACCCTATTTTCCTTGGTTTCCGAGGACAGATTTCCTATAGTAACCAAAGGTTTTCTACTGTAATTGAAACCTCAAAATTCAAATGGCTGCGATGTACAGCGATCATGAGTGAAATTTCGTCGTTTCAAAAATTGGCCTGGAACAAGATCTAAGAAGACCCTCCGGGTCAAAACTGATCGCAAATGTAATAAATCGTATAGATTCGTATTTCAGCGATCCTTGACTGTAGTGAAAACGTGAATCTAGAGGTAATAACAACAAGTAATTTGAAATCATAGCCCTTTAGGCCCTAACCTTACAGGCTGAGGCGTTGGATAAGGCCTGGTGGATTTCCGGGATTATAGAGTTGTCCATACTCTTCTTATCTAGGTACTCTAGGAATGAAGAGATCGGCTGCGGAACTTACCACCAATGGCCGATGAGGAGGACGGAGTGGAGGCCGTAGACGAGCTGGAGCCAGACACGGTCTTTGATGAGCCAGCCCCAGAAGGCGACCAGGCAAATCCCCGATGCGAAGAATATTTGCATGCCAATCCCGTAGAACGTCCGCTTGGAGGCTCCTATTATTTCCATCGCTGAAAACCATAGACATACAATAAAATCTAGACCGCGCATAAGGCTTGGCTCTTTCTAAGTGGGCGAGATGAAACAGCTGCGCGCCTTCACTTGTCCTGCTGCAACTTGGTATACATGGACGTATTTGGGGGATGTTGCGCGGTCTGGATTGTATTATTTGTCTCCGAGTAAAATTCATTCCGGACTTCACTCTGAGATTTCTAACAGTGTATCCGAAGTCCTGGAATTTCCTATCTCTTTGACTTTTAAACAAGTAAACAATTAATTCTTGTGCAACATTTTGCGACCAGCACGGTGGTGCCTTAATTTTTGTAAAATCAACTTTCTAGGAAAAGAAAATTGCTCAAAGTTGAGATCGTGATGGACGAGCCGCCAGGCTCTTTCGAAGAGATCGCTAGTGACAATTCTTTCAAGTTGACAACAATATTCTTCCTCTATTCAAATCCATAATAAATACCAATTCTAGCCTGCTTCACTTAGAATTAATTGTTTTACCTACATTTAAATGAACGAAAAACATTGTTGCCAAATTTGAAAAATCGCTAGCGGAGACCACTACTAAAGTCAAAGCTCTCCATGCAGAGATAAAGGGCTAAACACTGGACTTGTACTAGAAGGAGCTACATACAAATGAATGAATCAGAAAAATCAAAAGGCATGGGATTTGCGCGGTTTGTAGATCCTTTTGATTCAATTAATTTGTTCATATTTCTTTTTAGCATAAATGACGTCCATAGCAGCAGAAATGCAACACTGTGCGGGGACTCCGGGTGTAACGATGGTAGTTTTTAGTCCACATTCATGAAAAAGCTGCTAATGTATTCAGTGCTATCTCTGTATAGATAATTTGACCGAGTTTGGTGATGGACTTTTCTATGCTGATGCGGTCTTCGTCCATTCCAGCCTCGTATCTGTAATGACCCGTAGCGTAAGGTGCGGGCAGAAAATGAGGGAAAGTATACAAATCAATCATGTAATGGAACGTCAAATTCATAACTGATATTCATGATTGAAAAACGACCGTGATAAAACATGCGAATAAAAAGAAAATTGCTCAATTTAAAAAATAAAAGTTGGACACAAATTTTTTCTTCTATTCTTCGATAAGATTTTTAGATACATGTATCCTATCGACGTTACACAAAAAATTGTTCTTCGAAGGCCCCAAAACGTGATAATTCCTTCGGAATTTTTCTTTCTCCATGTGTAGTTATCCAAAACGTATCATGAAGCCCTGAAAATTCTTAGAATCAATTTTTGAGAGTCTCATCGGCAATAAAAAAGTACACACGTCTTTGAGACGCCTTCGAATGAGAGGTAACGATAAGGACCTTTAAGGTCTAGACTTATGATCATAGTTGAAAATATTACTTACAAGATTTTTTTAGATTCTTTTAGATCACTTGTTAGATTTTTTCCTACAAAGAATGAGAACAAACTTGGAAGAGTTTAGGCTACCTTCCTTTGGATTATTATTCGACGGTTCTCCACCACTATCTTTGTATGTTTGTCGATGTCTTTTTCCATGAGATACTTGACGTGCAATCATAAATGGACAACGATAAGGAACTGTCCGCCGAACAGATAATTTCCGCCGAATACATTTCAGACTTATTTTTCTTTGCTCCTCCTTCAGTATACGAGGCTTTTACAAAATGCCCTCATGCTCCGTAAGCATGAGATGGAAAAATTGTTTGCGATGCCTCGAAGCAATTATTCTGAGAAATATTTTAGCTCATAAAACTACGATACTTCAAAACAAATTTTTCACTCTTATTCACTTAAAATTTCCACTTCTCAAACTGATAATTATTAATGTTTGAAGTATTTACTTACGGGCCGATCTAAAATAAGAAATAGAAATTATATTGAAAAATATTTTTTTAAAATTGCTACACTGCTGTTATTAAATTCTGTTCATTAATTTCTGTTATTGATATCTGTTAATTACACTTCCAGAAGCTCGGTACATCGTGCCGGGTATATTTCAGCAGTTTTCCAAATTTCAGCAGCCAATACCGGGAATCTCGACTCCGACTGAACACCTCTCCGGGTAACTGTACGTATATTGCCAACAATATTTGGACCGCGTTAAACAGAAAGGAACCAAGCCACATCAGCTATTGCCAAATTTAAATAGGCAATTTAATCTTTTAAGTAAAAACGGTCGTGCGGACTTTCTTGCAAATTTCAGTGGATTTTCTCCATAGTACGAAGCAAATTGCTTAAAATTTTCAAAGGAATCCGCACAAACGTTTCCCCGTAAAAATTGAATTGCCTAATTAAATTTGGCAATAGCTGATGTGGCTTGGTTCCTTTCTGTTTAACGCGGTCCACTTCACCTTGTGACGTCTCGCTTAAATCAGCCTATAAGTCTTGTTTCCTTGGCAGCGGAAATTTTTTGCTGGGCGGATGGATTCGTATACTAATTGTGATACTAACATTTAGACGAAAGACTAGACTAGAAAAAAAGGAGTATACACATGAACAGAGATCCTCTAAAGGCATTCCTATGGACAAATGAGCATGCGCGGGACTTACCAAGAACGTAGCCGGTAATGAAAGCGCCGGCGGATCCAAATATACCGTAAATATACGTCAGCGTCACGAATGTCACGTAATTCTTCACAAAGGCCACGGAAACTCCAGCTGCCAGCTGACCAATGGCTGATATGTAAAATATTTTCTTCCGCCCGTATCTGAAATCAAGCAACGACGTAGGCTGGTGAAATTTTAGCATTTTTTTGACCTGCGAATATTCATGGGCGCGTGCATGGTGCGTGTCTATGCGTGTATGTGCTTTTACGACGAAAAAACATCAGGAGAGTGATCTCATTCAATTGAAAAACATACAACTTTCAATTTGATTTTTTCCCTCCTTTTTTAAACAGAATCTTCTGTAAAAAAAATCTATCAACCAGTTTGTTTTCTGTTTTCTTTTACTTCATTCAAAGTTATGAACGAAAGGACAGGCCTCAACTGCTCGTATCTCCAATATCTACTGGGTCAAACGCGATATTTAATCAAACTTAAAACGCGTCAGCAAACATTTATTGATAGTTAAATAAAGCAAGCAATTAAATCGAGAATTTTCTATTCCATTTGCTATTCCAGCAGATGAAGCTCCCTAGATGGGAATACAAAGGAGTCGTGCAATTGGATTGCATTTTGCGAAAAGGTACCAAGAGCATTCCAATGTCGCTGAAATTATGCAATATTTTCAAACTTGAAAAAAAAAAACTGGATTGTATTTTGCAAAAAGGAAACCAGCAGGAGCATTCCAATGTCTCTAAGATTGTGCAACTTTCTTTACCTTGCAAATATAAACTGATCATCTATACAAGTTTTATTCCTACTCTCGATAAACTATAAATTCAAGTTGAAAATTATGTTTTTAAATAAGATTTTTTGGAATATTTTAGTGAATATATAGCGAACAATGTAAGTTGCACAATCCTAGCAGCATTTAAATGCTCTTAGTTCCTTCTTGCAAAATGCAATCCAACTGATCATCTGAACAATTTTCATCTTTACTCCCGGTAAACTATCAATTAAAGACGAAAATTATCTCTTCAAATTTAATTTTTTTATATGATTTCAGTAATTTTATTGCCAAGAATGTAGTTGCACAATCCTAGCAACATTGGAATACTCTTGGTTCCTTCTTGAAAAATGTAGTCCAATTACTCCTAATTATACTTCAGAAATCTGAAAAAAAGGGAGAGGGATGGTTCATTATTTTGGTTCAAAAGGCCCTCCCTCCGGTTGTAACTACGAACAACTTTGGCGCAACTTTATAGTGTTTATCGCTGATTCAGAGAAGTGTGCGAGGAATCGATCGGTGTGACTAATGCGTCGGTCAAACGTTGACTCTGTTTTACATTTGTTTTGGTGAAAATCGTGAAGGTCGCGAAAAAATTTGGAACGCCGGATTCAATGCGGGTCCATACATCTTCTATGATACCGTAAAATTGGATGGATAAACCAAAGAGACGCACTCGCAGCTGAAGTTATCTCTAGCACTCTTTTTAGAAATACTTTATTTCTATTTGAATACAATACTGATTTCTCTAGCTTGACACCATTAAAAATGCATTAATTTCTTCTGTAATGACCCCAATGCGTAAATATTAGGTACTTACGCACCTGTTTTTTTTTAATCAATGAGAAATCTTTGTACCAGCATGACACGGCTAGTAAAAGTTTTGTTATTTTTGAGAATTTTTTTTTTTTACCATAGCACAATGAAGCAATAACATCAGTGAGGGCAGCAAAATACCGTCATCTTGCGGCCGAAGTATCACAAGCACCATGTGACGTTTCAAAATTTCCGCCACCATTATATTTTTTTAGAGAGAAATTGTTGAACAAAGCTGTCCAAAAATGTCACTGAATTTTCTTTGTGCTGCCGATAAAATTCAGTGAAATTTTCAAACAGATTCAACCAACAATTTCTTTGAAAACAAATAAAATGGCGGCGGAAATTTTGCAACGCCGCATGGCGCTTGCGATACTTCGGCCGGAAGGTGACGATAAAAATTTAGGTTTGTCGTATACCTTAATCCCTGACGTTACTTTTGCTAACAATAATTAATATTCATATCCTATATCCGACTAAAAACGACCATTTTGGTAACATGATACGATAATCTTGTCAGTGTCACTAACATGTGATCGACATGGTATCCATTTGGTCGAAGAGAGCATCATGAAACCAGTATGTTACCTGTCATCATCAGGGCCGGATTTAGGGAATGGCCAAATAGGCCGCGGCCCATGGCGGCAAATTTTGAAATTTTTTTAAATCGTCGCCTACCTGACATAAGGGCGTAACTGCACTATGGAATGAACCCTGTTTTCCATACGTTTCAATGCTTTCCCGGGCTCATCTCAATGTGTAGTTACGCCCTTATGTCAGCCAAGCGACGAAATGTAGCTACAAAGAAAAATCGGAATCAGAAAAAAAATTACAAACGAGAAAAGGTGATAAAATCTCTCA